GTGGGCTTACAGAGAGAGCCGGGCAGAGATGGATGAAGGCGTGTGGTCGCGCCGCCCGCCCGGCCGCCGCCGCCGCTCTGTTGGCCGCCTTGTAGGCGCGCGGCCGACTCTGTCCCCGTGGACACCCCCTCTCCCCCCCCCTCCCTGTAAAGTTTGGAACAGCACCATATGCATGTACTGCTTGTGCACTGCATTCATCATTGTAAGCAAAGCGCTCTCCCGCGTGCGGCTCGGCGCGCCACTTAGCCAAAGTTTTGTGTATGCATGGCGGGGCGGGGCGGGGCAGGCAGGCCCCATGTTCGTGGCCGCGGGCTCGCTAATGTCGCGCTGCATATTGCGGCTCCCATGGCCACGGTCCGGCGCCCACTGGGCGGGGGAGTGGGGAGGGCGCGGGTCAACAATCTTTCCCCGCCACAACACCACCACCACGACACCACCACCATACCCTAGTGGCGGCGGGTGCAAAGTGGATTTTTTTTTCCAAGTGGGGGGGCTGAACGCTTCCGAAACCGTTTCCACAACAAAACTTTAATCAGCGCGAGGCAACGCGTCGCGCGCCAAAACTTTGCGCCGCGGCGCCGCCTCAATGCTCCATCAGCAGCGCCAGACTTTTATGCGTATCGTCGCGGCCGCTTTCATTATTCCACGCCGCTTGTTTGTCGGGGCGGACGCGATTATTTGCATTGTGTGGAAAAAGAGGGAGGGGGGGGTCGGCCAACGCTACAGGTGCGAGGGGGCGGCGCAGCGGCGCCAGGGGTGCGAGGAGGAAAAGAAGACCTGCTCAGTCGCGCTGCACGGAGAGAGAGAGAAGCACAATCATGTTGGAGAGATATCGCGACGGACAGAGGCACAAGCATAGAGCGGGGCATCCCAGCAAGAGCGAGAGAGGCGAGGCGAGAAGGTTTTGAAACATTTCTTATTTCGAGATAAATAATAAGAGAGACCGCTAAAAGACAAAAAAGAGAGGGGAATAAAGCTCGACATTTTAATCTCGTGGGTTTTGCTGGTATGCCCGTAGCTCCTGACGAAGGCTGACAGACCGCGGCGTGCTTAAAAAGCGGTCGGTCTTTCGGTCAGCCCCGGTCAGCACACTGAACGCGCGCACACGCGCGCACACACACGTACATGCACTGCTGCAACATGCTGTATAGGCGGGGCTCTGCGGACTCTGCTACGGCAGCGAATGAGGTTAGGAGAGCCTCCCACAAGTTGTCGGAGTAGTGCCGCACCGGAGAGGAGCGGCACGTGAACGAGACCTTCAAGTGCGCGACAAACACAGCGCAGTGCTGAACAACTACTGTCCGCTCGACATTCCTGGAATGTGGAGTTCCCCAACATTCCAGGTATCAGTCAGTCGGTCACGGTAGCACTCGGAGTGACAAACCGCGTGGGAGGCAGTGCATCCAAAAGGGCAGGCTGCTGCGGGCTTCTTTTTTTGGCACCTATGCTTTAACATGGGAGGAGGAGGAAGTAGCCCGCAACAGCCTGCCCTTTTGGATGCACTGGTGGGAGGCTTTCCTGCTACCTTGTAATGATACACACAAACGAATAGGATAGAAGACAAAAAAAGAGGTATATTGAGGTACTCGTGTGCACAAGATAGACAGACAAAGAGGCCGGCGCAGAGGCAGACGGACGGATAGACGGCAACAGACATGTTTGAGTGTGTGTGTGTGCGTGGCGGCGTTACTCACATATAGCTGCGATTTACCAGGGTCTGCTGTGTGGAGATGATGGGGTGGTCGATGGGCACGATGGGCTGGGTCATGACGCCCACGTCCGTGGTGGACGAGCTCTTCTGCTTGAGCAGCGAGATCTCGCTGACGGAGCTGGCGGGCGGGTGCGGCGGCGGCGGCAGGTCCACCGAGCCCGTGGGCGACGCGCCCCCGGGCCCACCGACGGCGCCCCCGGCCTGCGGGCGCGCGCGCCGCCCCCGGCTGCGGTGCGGCGCGTAGCCGCTGTGGGGGCGGTCCACGCCGGCCGCGCCCAGCACCCAGTCGGCCAGGAACAGGCAGCAGCCGCAGCACACGTCCAGGGCCGCGCCGCGCAGTCCCCGGTGCAGCACCAGGAACAGCGTCGGGTTGACGAAGGCGTGGACGTACGCCACGTGCAGGGTTATCTGCGAGACCAGGGAGTGCGGTGCATGCCGGTAAGACAGGGCGTTCCGCACACATCGCTCTATTCTTCCCTCCCTTCCTCTGTCTCTGCAGCTGTCCCTCCTACTACTGCTATCCCCCCCCCCCACGTGGAGCTGTTTCGCGCGGCTGGCTCCCAGGAGGGGAATAAAGCACACATTACAAGGCACAGAGCGCCCCCCCCCTCCCTCTCCCACTGTGGCGTAGGCCCAACTTGGCGGGCGCCGAGCCCCCTCGCCCAGAACTTATCTAATAATGAAGATGGATTCTGGGATGATCGCGCCGTAAGTTGCAAGTGACACTTGGAGGGACGATGTGGCCTAATGCAGGCGCGGGGCGTTTCATTTAGAGCGCCATTACGCCCGCTGCCCTGCCGGCCCCGCCCCGCCCCGCCCTACCAACGTCTTGCCCTTCCCACTCTCTAGGACCAGCGTGCAGTTTTCTTGCGCAGCGTAGGAA